AGATATAATTTTTTCTTCTCTTTATTTCCATTTTTTTCATTGTGTTATTGAGGCTTCATAAAGGCCTAAATCTGGGGGTTTTTTTTCCTTTTCTACTTTCTCACTTCTCTACTGTTTTGAAGGTTTTTATATATTTTATCATAGATTGGAATGGAAAATTCTGCTTTCATATTGTTTTATTTTATTCCCTCCAAACTTTCCAATATAGATACCAATATTGCCTTTAAGAATACAATTCTAGAACTTCCTGTAGAATGGGTATGTGTCCATGTAGTTGTCTACCCCTTACAAGTAAAGCTAAATTTATTGTTATGTTCATCAGGTCTTGCTTTTAAAGTACTAATATTTTGAAGATATAACTGGTTTGGAGGTAAAAATGTTGCACTGCTTAAAAATATGCAAGATCCCTGTGTTTTATTGGAGCAATGTAATTTAATTATTAAGACTGCATGTCATTGTGATGTATGTGCTGGTTTATTTTATAGGCTGTTTTCTCTACCAATGGCATATATTTGCTTAGTCAGTGACAGGAAGTAGTTCGTATCAGCAATCTTTATTACTGATATTCATAGCTGATAATTATATACTTCTGCTCACATTGACACAATATGGTTTTGCACGGTAAAAATATGTACATGTGATCACAGTAATAGTTCTTCATAGCTCCTTTCTGGCAAACAATAGTACTTTTAATCTGCTCAGTGTTTTAATGTTTTAAAGATCTGTAAGTGCAGGTGTTTAAATTATGGGTATGAACAAATGGCAGATCGACTTAAAGGAAGGGATAAATCCAACAAACTTCTTCAGGGACTTAAATTTTATTTTGATAATCCTTTATGCAGACTCTTGCTTACACAGTTCTTGGTTTTGGAATTGTCCTGGGCATGTATGCTGAGTTATTGTAGCTTTAGTTTCAGGTGGTTGTAATGTTGGGGTGAAAGGAGAGAGTGTGGTCTATGGTCTACTCAAGTAGAATATAAAGTCTTATATATGGGCACAGCAGCTTCTTGTTTTGTGGCCACTTGTGAATCATGGAGCAGAGACTCATGGTTGAGCTGGGGGTATGGGGATTTGGGTGTGTGGAGTTGTAGGTTGTGCTGTAAACTGGACTCCTGAATATATGTGAGTCAAAAGAATAATCTTGCTTTAGGTATTTGAGCAAATATACTGGTCCTACTTTGAGCACTCTCCTCTGTCTTGCTCTACCCCACTTTCTACCTATCTATCCAAATAGCTACTGCCTTTTGTTGTCAGCAGCTTTGAAATAATTTGGTAGAAAAGCTAATTTTGATAAAGGAGGTATTATTACGAAGGAAATGTAGCGGACCTAGTCCTGTTGCCAGTTTCATTTGACCTTGCCACTGGATCGTGTAGTCATAACTTGTAATTGATATCAACAGTGATCTTAAGAACTCTGAGAGAGGAAGTTCTCATTCTGAGGAAGTTCTCATTCCCAGAAAGTTCAGGACAGGTCAAAAGCAGATCAGCTTTGCTGTTTTCTAGCAAATCTTATGTCAAATACCAATTGCTGAATTGGTCTAAGTGATCAGTCTTGGTGAAAGCCATGAGGTATAATCAATGAACATTGTCTCTTGGAATGTGATTGTTAACATGAAAATGATGAGAATATGTAACTATAATCTTAAAAATCCTTCCCTGAGTGTTCATGTCCAGGAGCTGGTTATGGTTTCACAAATTCAAAAACACATAAAGCATTTAGGAATAGAAAATGACTTAAAGATAAAACTCAGTAGTGGTAGAGTTGAGCCTGATACCAAGTTTTGATATTTTTGGAACAACATTATTTCTCAAAACTGATCATGTAACTTGAAATTAACTAGACAATGAAAAAAAAATAGTGTAATTGTGAAAGATTTAATAAAGAGATTCATATATGGGAAAGGTATAATTCCTTAAGCTATTGAAACGATTTCAGAATTGATTCAAAATCTTTACTGTCTTCTATAAAGAACAAGGTAAAGTTAAATCCATTTAACGACTCCTTTCCAATATATTACAGAAGAGAGGATGCACAGACTTGATGTGCTCCAAAAAGGAATTGGGCACTCTGCCATGATGAGTATGATATTGCACATGCAGCAGAGCACTCAGGCAATGCAGCCAGGAAAGTCTCTCCAAATGTTGTTAGGAGAGATAATGTAAAAAATTTAATGGCATAAGATAAGCAAAAGTGCAGCCTGGGCTATACAAGAATCTTTGAACCTTCATTTATGCTCTGAAATGTTTAAAGAGCAAGAAATATACAACTGGATTTTTTATTCTTTTAGATTAGGCATTGAAAAGACATAAAAGAGTCATCTCTGTTGCAGCCTAACTGCAGTCCTGTAAGTGTGTGTTATAAAAGCACATAATTGAAAATATAGTCAGTAAATAGTTACGAAACCAAGAGAGGCAAACTGAAAATGGCAGATGTACACCGAATACAAATACTGGGGATGTTGTTACTGGAAGGGTTCATATTTGTGATTTCAGTGAACTGCTGGAATCCATAACTTCTGTGCTCTGACTTCTCTGTGTTTCTGCTTAATATTCTTGAAAAGTAAAAATTTTATCTAGAGATTTTATTTTTAGACTACGATTAGAAATATGTGCTTATATAGACTACCTAAAGCTCCAGGTAACATACATGTGTTTTTCTTCGATTGTCTTCCGATAGTCATTTGTGTTTAACCTAAATATGTCTTTGAAAGTGCATATTCTTAATTAGGTTTCACAGTTCTACATTGCACCTTAAAATTAACAGACCTATGATTCCCTTTCTGTGCTCTCTTGTTGTTCCTTAGATAATTATGCAGTTTTGTAATCTGCATATGGCCTCTTTTTTCAATTGAATATTTTGCTTCAAGCAACAAGATATTCAAATGTCATAGCTAATATGAAAGGCTCTGTAATTATTGGTAACTAATTGTCTTATGATTGGTGCATTGCCAGTCTCTTTTGAATGCTTTTAATACAGATGTTTTGAAAGGATTCCATTAATCTGTTTCTATAGAGCTGCACTAGGGACCTCTGAAGATGCACAGAATTAGCTCTCGCAGTGGCTTAGCTCAGTGTGAGAACATGTCCTTCTGCTTGTGCTGCTCTGTATTTTCTGCTCCTCTGAAAAGATAGCTGACAAGAACTGTTTAAAAATAGCAGGCCAAGGGCAGGTGACAAAATGTCACACAAGCAGCACCTGGTCCAGTGACAGCCTGGAGGGAGGAAAAAAACAAGCCCAGATGTCACAGATACTATTCTATTTCTGAAGCTGGTCAAACAGCAGAATTTCAGCTTCAGCAAAGGGAAGGAGAAGGGCCCATCCATGCCTTATGCATTCAAATTTCACTGTTTTTTTTTCATAGAAGTTTCTTTTTGTTCTATTCCAAGTATTAGTTTACAAGGCTAGATAAGTATATACACCTTTCCCCTTTACAAGTAATACCTGTAACCTCACACTCATTAATACACTTTTAAGGAAAAGGGAATTCATGTCCCTCTGGCAAGAGTTCAGAAATATTTTAGCAAAGGTTATACTAACTAAATAATAGCAGCTTTAATGTTTCTGCTCTGCCAGATCAATGTGAAAATATGTACAGGAGAATTAAGCCTGTAATTAGGAAATGTGAAGTAGTTAATGAAGAAGATCTCTTTAAGAAGCTTTGCTCAAGGCGTTGGAAAGTAAAAATGGAAATTCTATTTACCTTCTGTCCCCACCTTTGTTTGCTTCATAGTCTTATTGTGGTGACACTTTAAAGAAGGAGGAAACAATAATGTGAAAAAAAGATTTATTTACTTTATTACTTAAACTGCTTAGTGACTCAGTTTCAGAAGTGCAGTGAAACTTCATGCTGCATCTGTAAAGAAAAAAATATTCATTACAGCACAGCACTCTCTGTGACTGGAAATAGAAGGCTTTAACTATCGATAGGAACTAGAAGTGTTGGAGAGCATTGCCTTTAGTTCTGCTCTACCAGAGCTCAGGTGTTAAAAATTGGTTTTGCAGAAGTATAGGAACATTATATTGGTTCTTATATTGGTTCTTCAGTGCAGAGTTGGTCCTGATTTCCCATAATTGGGTGCCAATTTAGTGAAGAAATGCAAACTGTCTTCTTCCCTAGCTCCCAAACTTAACCACAGACCTGGAAGTACATATTGAAATGGAGTTACAAAGCATATGAAATGGAGTTACATTATATACATAGAGCTACTTACCTTACTTAATTGAAATAAATTTTTATATGGCTATAATTGTCCTTTATAGCAGTGTCCAAATAAGGACTAATACCAATTACAGCTTTCAAATTGTTTTGGGTGGTTTAATTATAAAAGTCCTGTTCCAAAGTATCTTTGGGGGTAAGCTTTTAGTACTTTAGCTAAGTCAAATAGTATCTAAAACTAACCTGAACAGCAATACTGCTGTTGGCTCCTTTGCATCAAGAATATATATAGTTTTTGGAGTACATGCATGAGAACAGCATTCCCTCCAACCCAGCGTCTTATCCCAAAGAGTAGGCAATAGAGGATTCTTAGGGAAGAATACAAACACAGGGTGAGAACTCAGTCTCCAACTGTTAACTTGAGAGCTCCTGGTGCCTCAGGTAGTATGAAAAATAGTGCTTTATTTTTATCGATTTAGTGAGGTTTTGCAATACTGTACTTGTTATTGGAAACCAACCATAAAAGGCATAACTGCAGGGAGGTTGAACTTTGAGGACTTATACTGAAAGGGTAAGCATAATATTCTCCTAGTGCAAAGCAAAGGAATTTATTAAAAATAAGTGTTTCATTGCTTATTTTGTGATTATCAGTATTTTAAGTACATAACACTAAAGGTTCTGTGGTGTTAAATATTTTAAATGTGTATTCTGGGGGAGTTGTCTTCAATAGAGAGAAGATTTGACTACCCTGACTGTTCATCCCCTTTAGGAATTTTTCGTATTAATGAATTTAATTCAGTTTTGAAATAAAAACATTAAAAATAGCTTTTGCTTACATTGCAGGGCGTATGGGGATAAACTTCCATCATCCAGGAACAGACAATATTATGGCTCTTAATAGTAAGTAGTTCATATCTAGTAATTTATCTTGTCATGTTGGATATTATTTCTTACATTCTTTGGTTATGTAGCTGCACAGCCAGACATAAATATGTATCATAACATTTGCATAGAAGTTTATGTGCACTCTCTGAAAATATTCTTCATAAATCAATCACCACTAATTTTATTGGTAGAACTGGTGATTCTTTATATTAGCTTTATAATGACTTTGTGTTTCACTGCAAGCTTCATAATGCCTGCTATAGATAATATTGCCTAACAGTCTCTCTTGTTCCCTCCTTTGTGTGTGTGTGTGTGTTAAATCTACAACTTTAATTTCAGATATGTCTCCAGACATATGTCTTCTTGTTGAGATGAGCTGTTACAAGCTTTGCATACAATTACATTGACTGATGGAGTTTACTTTGTTGCTTTCCATTATGTAGATAGGAATGGAGAGAATGTTTAGACATCTAAATCATGAGGAAAAAACTGCACTTCACTGAAAGATTATTGCTCTTGTTTGTGTTGGGAAATAAAAGTAGAATTAAAAATCCAGTGATGAACATATGCATTCAGCAAACCTGCCAGAATGGGTCTGAAGACAGCTCACATCATGTGGGGGGATGTGGGGTGTTAGGCACTGCCAGCATAACATAGAACTGAACTATGCAAATCAAAGCATAGCGTTTGTCTGCCTAAGCCTAAGAAATGCTAACTATTTTGAAATGACCATTTTTGCTTACAATGTTGTAGTAGATGTGTTAGGATTAACTTATGAGCATCTCTAAATTGTTATGCCTTTGCACTATTTAAGTTAGAGTGTGTAGAGTTGAAAACTGCATTTTTTGGTGTAGTGCCAAGCAGAGAACAGGTAATAAATGTGAAGATCTGAGAATTTGTAATAGACAAAATGCAAGGGGTTTAACATTTGTCTTTAGAAGCCAACTTTTTTGCTTGTGCTCTTTGTGGTTTTATACAGTTGAGGTGATGTTTTGAAGAGTTTGTATATGCCCCATTTTCTTATGGACATGGAAAATTATGGGAAATAAAGTAATTAACTGGGAGAAACACTAATTAAAGACTTAATTAAAGGGGGAAGCTGTTCGTGTTGGGGTGTGTGTGTAAATAAGTTCTACACAGTACAGTTGTTGCTGTTTGACACGAGTTCTGGTCTCAGAATGTGTTTGTGGCTCTAAGGTGCCATTTCAATAAGCTGATTGCAATAGTGTATTTGGGGAGATGGGATATTATATTGAATTGAGTTACTTTTAACAACTGACAGTTACTATGTAACATATAGTAGTATTTCTTGCGAAGTCTTACAGAAATTTTGGAAAGACAGGAATGAAAAACTGATACAAAAAGTTCTATTATTTTGGGACAACTTTTATCCTAAATGATGTATTCTACTCTGATTTCTTTTTAATGGAAATAATATTTAACAAATTATTTCTCTCTAATTTCCTTGAAATTTTTACAGCAGCTATATAATCTAATAGTTTATACCAAACAATGATCCTTTGTAGCTATAGTGCTGGTGTATGGTTAAAATATCAATAGAGCTAACTGAGGGACCTAAACTAAATATATTTATGCATTTCCACTATTTAAATATTCTGGGTTTATTTAAATGTTAACTGTCTACAGACTTACATGAGCACAGAATCATAAATAGGCAATTTAAGCAAAATAAAATTCATTGCAGATCAGAAGACTTAATAAGTTCCCATGTATTTTTTCCTTTTCTGCAACTCTTCTCCATTGACCGAACCGTTCCTGGCCATTGCTGAGAGCCCTGAAGCTAGAACTGTTGTACTGTGAAACCTGTTGGGTTTTGCTCTTAAATCTTTGACGAGCTGAGAATATAAGCAAATATTCGAGTACATAAGCTGAAAAATTACTTTCTGTGACTGAAATCCTCTTTTGTATGCTGCTAAAGCTGAGACATTTAGAACTATGTAGTTCCCATGTCATCCATTACCTTTATCATGGGGAAATATACTAAGGAAAGGTAGTTCAAGGAGAACTAATCTTTTCTGTGATAGAATGATTATGGTTTGGGTTAGAAAAAGTAAAATAAGAATCCCCAAAAGTTATTTCATCATGGTAATTTTTGGAACAATTATGAAACTTATGTAATGTCTTTCTTTAAATCATAAGAGTTGTCATATCTATGTATAATTTCTGTGAAACCAAACCCTGCTGAATCTGCAAATCTAACCTTCACATTCTATTGATAGTCACTGCTACATAAGCATTTTTCTCTTTTCCTATGAAAACACAGAAATAATCTTTTAAGATTTATTACCTAAAGCTCAGTTTCACACTGCCAGTGTATGCAATCTTTTGAAGTTGGAAGACAACATATGCTCATGCCAACAGCAATGCAAAACTTCACATGTTGCAGGGGAAGTTCTGAGGGGTGTTCATCTCTAGGTCCTTCTCATCCTCTGTGGCAGCACTTTCAACTGTACCTCAGCTGTTATTTACTGATTACAGCCTTGTGAAACTAGGGGTTTTCCTGACTGACTGTCTTGAGCTGCTGTCCGTAAATGTTGAAGGGGATTGTTTGGTTTGAGGGAAGATGTTACTTGCTTAGCTGGCAACAGTGTGTGAAGCTTTTTACCACCATTTTGTTCATCACTGTGCAAAGCTATAAGTCATCATCATCTCAAAGCACTAAGTTCTGAAACAGTGAAACTAGTGAAATAGAAGATATTACTCTTAAATATATAATTATTGTCAATCTTTTCTTGTCATTAATGGCACTGTGCTTGTGTCCACACACAGTTGCACATGTGTATGAATGTTTATGTCATAAATGGCCTTCAAGTTCAGAATTAGGCACCTATTGAGGAATACAATGTTCTAATAGAGAGCTCTAAGCATAATCCTAAAGAACATATGCAAATGTTTAGATTTGAAACATCTTGCGGAGGTGAAAAGATATAACTTTTGCTTGTGCTAGATCTAATGGAAATTTCTCTAATTGAAATAGTGCTTTTAATCTATTAGTGACATCAGTTAGTTAACTTTTAAATATCATTCATACTGAACTAAGCAGTAGAAGAACCTTTGTAAACAGGACCTTTTTAAAATAATTGATACAGTAATTTATAGGGGAATGTAGCATAAATTGATCTATATTGAACAATAAATTCATGTATGAACTGAAAGAAAAACCATCTATTAATGAAATTATAGGAGTTTGCAGTACCAGTTAAAAGTTATGCTTAAAATACTAAGCAAAGCCTGAAAAGAAGTTAATTTGCTTTGGCAAAATTAACTCCAAGGTGTCCTCTATCCTTGCTCTTACTCTGCCATTTGCAGCCATACATTTCTGTGGCCATTGCTTCTGCTTGGAAGCAATTGGACAGTCTCACGAGTTAATATGTGCTCCTTTTTAATTAGCTGTGTAAATAGGACTAAATTATCAGCATGAATACACAGTCACCGATGTACTAGTTGATGAGCTATCTTTAGTACGTTTTGTGAACTCCAGAAAGCCAACAATAAACTTTAGTGGGACAGAAGTACGTTGGGTGAAACTAAACAACAGTGTGTGATCTTCCTAAGGAAGCACTGAGCTGTTGTGCTGGGATCCCTATCTCCTGTAAAATGAGTTTAGTCTAAAGGTAGTTAAATGGACAAATGAGATAACCCCTTTGTGAAATGCTGGAATTTTGTCTATCCTGAAGCTCCTCTGTACAGTGACTTTGCAGTGCTGTTGGGCATCAAATGTTCCATCTGCTTCCACTGTTCATTCTTGTCTCATACCAAAATGTGTTATCTGTGAGGTCTAGTACTATTTGCTCTCCAACTGACTGTCTTTTCCTTCTTTTCATTAGTATAATTGAGTTCTGTTTTTGAAAAATAGTTTAAGGCGAGGGTTTGAGGATCCTTTTTAGATGTCTGTGTTGAGATTTTGGTTTTGACCTATTAATATAGATCATAATTACGTGGGGATGTTGTCATGCCATGACAGGAAATGTAATGACAACAAAACTATTTCTTTTTTTATTTCTGTGTTTCTTTTGGTTTTAAAATTACCTTTTCTCCTTAAGAGCTATTGTACTTGGCTCTTCCTATATTCTAATGTGTTGTTTTCAAACATATATATTGTTTAGATATTAAAAAAGTTGTTGTAATAGTAGTTTATATTTAAATTTTTGCCAGTGCTACTGTTCTACTTTAAACTGCTCCAAATAGGTTTGGTGAATTATTTTTGTCTTGCAAAATCTGGGTTTGGCAGTTTAGCAGCTAATAAAAGGTTAAGGGTTTGTAGTGATAATATTCTGGAAAAATGTGTGGCTGAATTTCCAGATGCATCAATCTCTTTAAATTGTTTGGTATCACCTACAGGAATTTACTGAACTCTTTAGCCCAATTGCCAGGTTGGGTTACTAATGGAATGTGTTACCAGATTATTGACATATATGGAATAATAGAACGGACTAAAAGCCACTGAGAGAGCTCATAAGGTTTGCCAAACTAGATCTAATTTAGTCATGAAGAGATCAGAGTTAATATAACTGGGAGGAAAAAATATCTGATGTAAAGTGTGACATAGCAAAGGCAGCAAGGTTCATGGGAGTCCCAGAGTGTGTGAACTCTCACTTTACACATAACCTTGTTGAGTTTCTCAGAGCCAGCTGTACAAACAGTTAGTATTGGTGGTGCCTTGGAGGCTGTGAGGAGAGCTCGCTGGTATCCCAAGGTTCCTTCTATACCTCTGTAATTAAACGAAGAGGGAGGAAAGCTGAGGAGCAACACAACATGATTTTTCTTCTTTCTTCCCTTCTATTTTTCATATTGGCATCTGCACTTGCAGACATCCAGTTTGGCTGTTACTGGAGGCAGTATCTCTTATCCATGACTGCTAAAGGCTTTTTCTAGAAGAGGAAGATTTATTTAATCATCTTCCTCTTAATCCAACTTGGTGGTAGCTCTTTACTATCTGTTTGTTTGTTTGTTTTCCCACCACTCTTCCTGCCTCACAACCTCACCAAAGAGCT